TGCCAGCAGGTCTGGCAACCCCAGAATGCCATGCTCAGCACCCTGCTCCCTGCCTGCCTGGTCAACCACCCAGCCCCTTCCACCAACACAAAATCCATCACGAACAATTTGATTTCCTTTATTTAACACATGACATTTAGGAAAAAGCCTAATCCTATTGCAGCTTGGAAAAAACAGTGATTCCAGCTTTCCATCCTTGGGCCTGAAGGGGCTCAGGTGCTGCAGCCAGATGAGATGCAGTATCAGGGGCCTTGTTCTGTGCCAGGGACACTCTCCTTTCACTCAGAGCCTCTCCTGAGGTGGATGGTGCAGAGAACATCAAGTGCAGGGGGATTTCCAGCCTGTGGGTACATATGCAAATGCAACAGTAAGATCTTGCAGTCTCATGTTTTTGCTACCTCTTGTTTTTAGCAAAGTCTGCCAGTAGACAAAAATAAAAAGCCAGTGCTGGGGGGCATGGTGGGGTGTGAGCCCCAGCAGATCTTGACTGATGTGCACTGACTCTGCCTGACATACCTGGCACTCCACAGGGTGGCTGCTGTGGCATTCCTCATGGATAAGGATCATGCCAATTCAGCCTTGTGTCCTGCGTGGATTTAAATCCTTGAGTCTTTCAAGGCAGAGGTAAGACAAGCCCAGAGAAAGCATTCTCTGCAGTATGGTGTTAGGTGTGTGAGGAGTGGCAGGGCTGGGTGTCCCACAGCACCTGCAGAGCACAGGCTGCCCAAAACCTGCCAAGGGCTCCAGTTCCACGGAGATGGTACCATAAACCCCCAACTGGCTGGCGTGAACATCCCACGTGTAATGTCATTACCTTCTCAATAGAGTTACTTGTCGGTGAGTAAAGGTTACAGGAAGGAAGGTTCAGATTATCTAACAGCCTTTTAAAACGTGTTTCTCTCTTAATTGCATGTTCCCAGAGTCAAAGTCCCTCGGGCTCTTTGTCTCTCCAGCGGCCAGTGGAGGCTGTGCACCAGGCAGTTTAGCAATCTCATGCTCCTGGCTCTTGTGCAAGCCTGTTGCTCTGTCCTGTGGGTAACGGCAGTGCTCACATTCAAACCACGCTGAGTCACCAGCCCGGTTCCTCCCTGAGTGTTTACTCTGCTGTCACAAGTGCACTGACGTGTTATTACTGGGGAGCCCAGCAACTACAGGGAGTGTTTCACCTCTGATGTGCTGGTGCTCTTTTAGGCTGAAAACAAGTGAGAGGGAAATGGGGTTCACCCACATCCTTTGCACAAACTGCTCTTGGCCACCACCCTCTGCAAGCAGCCTGCAGTGTCTGTGCCCAGGCCAGCACAGCACAGGGCAGACCTCTTTGCTGTCTTTACCAGGGCAACACTTCCAGAAAAGGTTTCAGTGATGTCATCCCACTGGTGTCAGCCCTTGAGGCAGCCAGATTCCCAGCCTGTAGCCCTGCCGATGTGGGAGCAAGTTACAGCAGCAGAACTTCGCTGTATCATGATGCTGGGATGTTCTGTGTAGCCCGAGCCACCCAGAGGTGAGGCACAGAGATGCCAGACTCTGACATGTCTCTCAAAGCCAGCTGCTAGGTGAGACAGGTAAAGAGGGAACAGGATGGATGGATAGACTGACAGAGGTCTGGAAGAAGTTACAGCAGGTGTGTGGGTCATCTTACTGTCCCCGAGTCCCCGCCCTGAAACACCCAGCAGCAGGGGCTGGTGTCAAGGAGCTTCCTGAGAGGGATCCCCAGCCACGCACATGGCCAGGCCCAGAACGAGGGTGTTTGGCTGGTTGCTTCCTCCTCCCTTCTTCTTTAAGGTCACCAAACCCAGCTGCTGCTTTCAACACACATCCCTTGGCAGGAGGCAAAGAGGCTGACGGGTAGAGCTGCCAAAGGGCAGAGGCAGGGTGAGGCAGCAGGAGCAAGATGCTGCTCTGCAGACAGATCCAACCTTCCTTCGGCACAGCCAGCACCCCTGGAGGGCCCTGCTGAGCACCCAACCCCTGGCCTCGAGCCTCCTGCTGCTCTACGACCCTCTGAGCCTTGTGCATTGATGCCAGGTGATGAACACATCTTCCTTCCTACCCCTCTGAGTGCTTTCCCTCTCTTCCCTTCTCCGCTCACCTTCTCCCTGCATGCGTGGGACGTGTTCTCCCTGGCTCTATTTCTTTTCCAGTCAGGAGCTAGTCATCCACAGTGAGGTCACATGTTGTTTCCAAGGGAAGCAATAAATTTAGACAAATAAAAGATTAAAAAAACACAGCCAGATTTTTATAAGACATCAGAAAACTATGGCCAAGGGTAACACTCTTGGCTTCATGGCTCTTCATGGACCCAGGCAGAGAAATCCTACCAGCAGTGATGCTACGTGGACCCTTCTGTTTGGCACTTAGTGGATTCTTGCTCCTGACAGTGCATTCTGGACCCTACACTACCTGCAGGGTACACTTCCATCACATCTAAATAATCCAGTCAGTAGTTTAAATATGCAAAACACGTGGCACAATCTAGTAAACTGGGTTTTTAAAAGAACTTGGAACTGCTTCATCCTGGCTGCTGAAGCCTGAGAGGACAGGGAGAGGGTCACCTTTGCCTCTGTCCCAAAACAGCCAGCATTTCAGGGGCTCTGAGGTGATTGCTGCTGGATTTCGCAGCGCGCTGAGGCTCATGGGCCTCCTCCATCAGGCAGTTTGTTATGATAATGTTAACGCACAGGCTGTCGTCATCTGGCAGCACAACCGCCTGCCTTATGAAATAACTCAGCGTGACAGCTCTGCTTGCTAGCAGGCAGGCCCGTGTCTGGCTTCTAATCTGGCATCAGAAAGCACTCCCCTTCCTTGAGCTACAGACTAATATCAAACGTTTCATTTGCATTACTCCAGCTAATCTGCTGGAGAGCGTGGGGAGAAGGGAATGGCAGCCAAGCTCCTCCAGGAGCCCACACGTGAAGCATCGCGCCGCTGCCATCCCCGCCACGCCGGATCTGTTGATGCCCCCGCGCCGCCGGCACCGCGGCCGCGCCGGGATTTACATTTCAGATTCCCAACGTCAGGCAGCGTTTGCGAGCTCCGCGGATCGACTCACGCGATGCCCCGGTGACAGATCACCAGTGACTTCCTTCCCATGTCAACAAAAGCACAAACGTCACGAGGACAACGCAGAATCGCTCGGGGCCCCGAGTCTGCTCAGCTGCAAAGGTCTCGGTGACTTCCCAGGCATATGCTGGGTGCTGGAGCTCTCTGGACAGTCTGAACAACACAGGCCAGAGGGATTAATCTAATGCTCTGTCGAGATGCTAATACAATAAGGGTTCTTTGTGGCATTTGCTGGAATCATGAGACCAGCTCTGAGATGTCATCGCCTGGCAGTCGTAGAGAGCGCTGGCCTGGAGCTCTCCAGAGAGGAGGTTGTCTCCTGCTTCAAGCCCTGAAGCTGCTGCAGGGCTGTGAAAGTGCAGTGAGCCCTCCCCATTCTGGTGACAGCTTTTTCGGGAACAGCGCGCAACCTCTGTTGGTGAATCCAAGGAGAGCCGAGGGAACAAGCATTATTTTAAAAGGGACAACACTTTTCCTTGATTTTTCCAGGAGCAGCAAAGCTGTGGATGCCAAGAGGGTTATCGGAGCCGCAGGGTCACATCTCACCCCAGTGGAGTCTCCGCCACCCACGGGACTGGGGTTTTGCTATAAAAAGTGTTGCAAAACCTGCCAAGGCCAGTGAATGGTTTGTGTCAGTTCCAGCAGACGCTTTCATCTCCTGTGCCAGCTTCACGCCCACAGAGCTGTTGGGCCTGATCCTGCCCTACCTCCAGTGCCAGCAGGGAAAGCTCCATCCCACTCAGCACATTTGTGCCACTGGAAAAGCACCATCAAGAACCAGCAGAGATGGTGGGCAAGATGAGGGGCAGGGAGATGTGTCCAGGGGGGATTTGTCACCAAAATTCACAGCTGACTCATGCTGACCTGTGAATTTTTGTGACAGACCCAAAGACCTCACACCATGCCAGGAGGGGATCCAAAGGCCTCACATGGCACCCCGAGGGACCCCCAAAGAACCCATACGGCACTATGAGGGAATTGAAGCTCCTACACGGCACCATGAGGGGACCCAAGGTCCACTTCACAATGCCATGAAGGACCAGCTATTATAACCCCCTTATTCAGCCTGTGGAGAATAGAAGACTGAGGAGACCTTACAGCACTTTCCAGTACCTAAAGGAGCTACAAGAAAACTGGAGAGGGAATTTGGATATGGGCATGCAGTGACAGAGCAAGGGGCCTTTAGACAGGAAAAGGGTAGATTTACACTCGATACTATGAAGAAATTCTTTACTGTGAGGGTGTTGAAGCCCTGGAACAGGTTTCCCAGAGAACCTGTGGCTGTCTCATCCCTGGAAGTGTTCAAGACCAGGCTGGACAAATTGGAGCAACATGGTCTGGTGGAAGATGTCCCTCACCTGCTCATGGGCAGCGGCTTAGAATGAGATGATCTCCATGATAGTCCTAACATTGCATACAGTGCCATGAGGGACATAAATCCCCCAACAGCACGAGGGGAATGCAAAGACTTTCCATGGCACCATGAAAGGAGTAAAAACCCCCACACGGCACCTTGAGGGTCCCAAACCCCCACAGGGCTCCATGGGGGGACCAAACTCCCTCCTCACCCTGCCATGGGCCACTCAGACCCACACAGCACCACGAGGGAACCCTTTTCCATGGGGGACATTCCCTGAGCACCCACCCCACTCCATGGGGCACCTGAGACCTGCACAGCACCATGAGGGGACCCCCACACACACTCCATCAGGGACCTTCCCTTTCCACGAGGGACAACCCCTGAGCGCCCACCGTGCCCAGACCGGCACAGCACCATGACTGCACCTCCCCCTCCGTGAGGAACCTTCCCTCCCCACGCTGTCACCCCGCTCCAGCAGGGACATTCCCCGGCCGCCCGTCCCGCCCCGCTGAGGGAGCGGCAGGGCGGGACGTGCCGCCCACATAAGGCGGGCTCAGCCCGGGCTGCTCGGGGAGGAGGAGGCGGTAGTGGCGGCGGCACCAGCAGCGGCTCGTCCGGGTGGAGCCCGTCATGGAGCTGGGGTGGCTGGTGTGCGGCACGGCGGTGCTGCTGCTGCTCCACGTCCTCATGGAGCTCAGCCCCGCCGTCAACTTCGCGCTGCGCATCGGCTTCTACTGCCTGCTGTGCCTCGTGTCCTCGGCGCTGGCGGCCGCCGCCTGCCTGCTGGTCAACGGCGGCCGCACCGTCAAGAACATGAGGTGAGTGAGGGGGCCCGGGGGCGCCGGGTGAGGCACACGCTGGGGACACCGGGGTCAGCCCCCGCCGCTGCCCGGAGCGCCCGGCGGGGTGGCGGCGGCCTCTGTTGCATCACCCGGGGGTCCCCTCCTGGCTCATGGCTTGGCCGTGGCTGAGCCCTCGCCCCCAGCGAGCCGCCTTTGGGGATGAGGTGCCCGGAAGGTCCAAGAGGCCACGCGGGTTTGTTTTTTGTTTTGTTTTGTTTTTTTTGGGGGGGGGTGGGGAGGAAGCTACAGGACGTCACTGTTCGAGCGTGGCAGAGCGCTGAGCAGGCTGCGCAGGGAGGTCGTGAATTTTCCCTCTCTGGAGGCATTCCAGACCCACCTGGGACGCGTTCGTTCCTGTGTCCCCTGCCCTGCGCGACCCTGCCTCGGAGCGGGGGGCGGGACTGGGTGATTGATCTCCCCCCTTCCAACCCCAGCGATTCTGTGGTTGTGTTTGGGGTGTTCCCTCCCGAGGCAGAGGCCGTGCCCGGCAGGGTGCCATGTGCTGCCGGGAGCGGGGCAGTCCTGCAGCTGCTGTCAGTCCCTGCGTCCTGACAGGGCGCCCGGGGCAGGGGATGAGGAGCTGCCCTCGTCCAGCAGCTCCTCTACGCGCCAAAGGCACATTTTTAGGGCAGAGCTGGCACTCCTGCTGGCAGCACACAGGACAACTCCGTTTCCTGGATTTGCGGTCCCACAGGCAACTTTTCACCTCCGTATCAGGGTCAGGTTATATGGAGGCAGGGGAAAGGGAAGCCCTGTTGTCTTATTACGTCCTTTTGGGTCAAAGGTTGGGCAGCGTCTCAGCAGGTGGAGCTGGACTTTGCAGTGTGGCTCTCACAGGTAGGACTCAGGGCAGAGTGAGCAAGCACAGGGCACTGATGAGCACATCTCACTGATGAGCTGCCTTGAGGGCTCTGCCCTGCCCACCCCAGCCCGTGCTGTGGTCCCAGGCACTGGAAATAGCAATTTGCTCTGGGATCTCCAGCCTATCCCTGTCTCCAGCTTTGGTTGCCTTGGCTCATTCAGGGGCAGCTTTCTAATGCACAGCCAGCTTTGCAGCTGGGAGAATTTATGATGTCAGTGATGGAGACACTCTCTTTTTAATTCCTCCCCAGAAATAAACTCTCTACATTTTCTGTAAACTTAAAGGAATTATTTGGGAACAAGAACTTCTTGCATTGGATAACGCCTCATGTTGAAACTCTGAGCTGACTTTTGGCCAGAACCACGTACTGGCACTGGCTGATGATCCTTGTGATGGATCCCAGCCCCTGGGAGGTCTGTGGCTGAGGTGATCCAGCAAGTTCTTTATTTCTCCAACATCCCAGTCTGCTTATTCCAGCTTGGGAAAGGGGGTTGGAGCAGAGCATGTGCTGGTGGACAGACGGTGATAGCAGTGTCACTGCCTGGCGCAGAACACCCCGTTCTTGCTGTGCTCCTGGCTCCAGTGCCAAGCTGGTGTGGCTTGGAGGAGGTTGCCCTGGGTGTCTGATAGAGATAGAGCTGTTTATGTAGTGGTGAAACCTCTTGTAAGGGCTTCAAGTCTGGTAAGCAGATTTCATTAGACCTTGAAAATCAGAGCATCCCAAACAGGCCTCTGTGATAGCCTGTGGGATCACAGCACGTGAATCTGGGGGCTGATGGCTTTCAAACTCAGACTGTTATGGATGCACTGAAAAGCCACATTCCCTCTTTTTTTTGTGCTCTTTACACCTGGCATTATGTACACGGGGTTTACAGCTCTCTGCAGCTGTGGCTGCACCAAGTCTGGCTCGTTTATACCAAGAGAGAAGCTGTTTCTGGGCTTTAAGGAGAGTCGGGTCCATCCTCTTAACCCTGTGGATGACGTGGGCAGCTCAGCAGGGCTGCTGGTCACTGCTCTGAGCTCTGCCCCTTTGCCTCTTTCAGTGGCTCACGCCACATCTTGTGCAAGGAAACGCTGGCTCTGGGCTGGCAGGAGGAAGCTGGATGGTTGCTCTTGAGTAATGTGTAACCAGCCTCTCCCGGTAGCCACTGAGCAGTGTGACTTCCAGAGCAGTGACCTCTTTTTTGGTTGGCAGTCAGAAGGGAGGAGAAGTGTGATTTAGGTCAGCCTGGTGGCATGGCATCCCCCATGACCTCACTGGTTCTGTGTCACCCTGCCTCTTCTCAGGGGCAGCCTCGTCCCTTCACCTGGGCTGCACCCCCAGGCCCATGGAGCTCTGGAGCTCTGCATTCCATACACCTCCCTGTGTCCTTTCCCTGGGTGTGGCCGTAACCTTTGAGCAAGTTGAAATGAGAACTGATAGCAGTGTCACCAGGGGGGCAGTGTCACCTGGGGGTGTTGGCCTGGCCTGAACTCGGGTGTCAAAGCCAGCGCCTGGGTGTTCTGCATGGCAGGACACCCCACAGAGAGGGGAACCCCACTGTGGGTAGGAGCAAGCTGGGGAAAGTCATGTGGTTCAAGAGCAGATGGCAGGGATGTGGATACTTTTGGAGAGCAGATGCTGGGAGCTGCTGCCAAGCCAGGATGAGACGCTGTCCAGGTGCTCACCTCCTGCTCTGGGTGACAAGGATGCTTCCCAGGAGGACGGTGCTGCACAGCTCTTCAGCTGGACCCTGTGGTGGGGTGGCAAAGCTGACACTGTCCCTCTGTCTCCTGCTGTAGGGAGGAAAGCTCCATCCCCTGCCTGACAGGGAGAAGGTGTCCCTGAGGCAGGACATCCAGGTGCTTGCTGGAGGGCAGCTCAGCTCCTGAATCAGCTCTGGGGGAGAGCAGAGCTGGTGGCCGTTCTTGGCAGCTTTGCTCACGTGCAAGTTCCTCTGCCACCTGTCCTGGTAAATGGCTGCTCCCCTGCCCAAAATAGCCCCTGTGTTCTGCCAGCTTCTGGCTGTGTCCTTTGGCCCAGTTGGAGGGTCCCCAGGTCCCACCTGCCTGGGGGTGGCACAGATTGGCCGGGCTGGCGGGGGCTCGGCCGGTGGGCCTGGGCTGGGTGTGCTTGGCAAGGGCATTTGCAGCCTGCTCCATGTGTTGGCACGGCTGAGTGGAGCTGCCAGTGTCTCCCAGCCGGGCCCCCAGCCCTGGGAAGAACTGGGAGCTTTGTCAGACCTGTAGATCCACTGGGGAAGGGAACTGACAGGCAAAAGCTTGCGGACGTGTTTGCCGGGGGGCACCGGGCCTGTGCCAAGCCGTGTGGGGAGCATCCTGATCGCTGCTCACATCCTTGGGTTGCGCAGGGAAGTGTCTCTCACCTTCATTCCCCTCCTCTCTTGGACTCCCATGAGGTGATGGCACCCCAGGTTTGTTTGGATCATCGAGCAGTGTCTTCCAGCACTGCGAGGAGCAGGATGGGCAGAGCCTTGCACGGGTGTTGGGTGGGAGGGCTGACCCCTGTGCTGGGGAGGGGCAGCTCCTGGGAGAACTGTTTGAACAACTTGGGGGGGGGCCTTCTGATTGCAGGAGGAAGACACTGGTAGCACTGGAGCAGTCCAGAGCACTGAGGAAAAGAACAGCACTCCATGGGTGGCACTGGCTGCAGGAAGAGCGGTCCTTTATCCAGTGCTGAAAACAATGTACCCCTCTCCTGGACTTTGGAGTGTTTCCAGTGTGCCCTCTTTGCAGGGCTCTCACAGCTGCACTAGGCTGGGCTTGCCTCTTCCAAAGAGCCTGTTGTGAGCTGACGCTGTCAGCTTGAAGGAAGCATGGGCTACTGAGCCTGGCTGAACCAGCCTCAAAATTACAATCAGCTTCCCCCAGGCTTCCGGTAAAATTCCCACACTGGGAGTGGAGAGGACTTGGAATGCAATTGAAGTACCTTGAGCATGTGGGACCATGAAGGGCAGACACCTGAGGGGACCAGAGGGCAAATAAGACTGGAGGTTCTCTGTCCCAGAGTTCTTGTCTCTTCCCACCCACCCTGGGTGTAGCAGCCCCTGTCACCCTCCTGCCCCATCACTGACTGCTCTTCTCTTCCACAGAATCATCAAGGCTGTGGTCAAGACCTTCAAGTATTTCTTCGGCCTGAGGTTTGAGGTGAAGGGACTGGAGAACTTCGAGGTGGAGGGCCCTGCTGTCATTGTGTCCAACCATCAGAGCATCCTCGACATGATGGGTGAGGAGCTGGTGGGAGGGAAGGAGCAGTTCTCCTGCTCACCACTGGAGAAGTCCTGCTCATGCATCCTGGCCAGTCTGTGCTGCTGAGCCAGCTGGTCCAGCTTCCCTGTGGGGGTTCTTCCTGTCACCTGCAGCCACCCTGCCCCACTAACTGTGTGCCAAGCTCTCCTGCTCTGCTGGTGGCAGCAGAAGCCAGGATTGAAACAAGGCCTCAGCCCATCCCTGTCCCCTCCCCACCTCATGTCCCTGTCCCACCTGAGGGTGCAGGCAGGCAGGGTGACTGCTGGGTCTTGCCCTCTGCCATCCCATTAGGGCTGATGGAGATCCTGCCTGACAACTGTGTCCAGGTGGGCAAGAAGGAGCTGATGTACACGGGCACCGTGGGGCTCATCATCTACCTCGGCGGCGTCATCTTCATCAACAGGAAGAGCACCAGCAGCGCCAAGATAGTGATGGCTGAGGTTGCCAAGACCATGGCAACTGAGAACGTGAGTGTGGCCGTGGGGCTCGGTGGGGTGGCCTCTGTCTGGGCACCCCAGGGTGGCACGGGGGGATGTGGAACTCCAGGTGCTGGCTCATCTGGCAAAGCTGGGCTGGCAGCTCGGGGCACTGCGGGTGGATTGCTGGAGTAAAGCCTTGTTCTCTTCCCATGTGCAGCTGAAGGTGTGGGTGTACCCAGAGGGCACGAGGAACTGCACGGGGGACTTGCTGCCGTTCAAGAAAGGAGCATTTCACCTTGCTGTGCAGGCACAGGTAACACTGCTCTGGCCCTGCACGGGCACCCTGAGTGCTTTTGCAGTGGCATTCTGGGCTGGTCGTGCATTGTGTGGTTTATTTGCTCTCAGGTTCCCAGGTAACACCTCCCCAGGTGTAAACCACCGTTAGGTGTCAGAAGTGCTGCCCAGGAGGAGCCAGGAGCCTTTTCCAGCCCCTGTGGGAGTGACCTGCCCCTGGGGACAGGTGGCTGCAGGCAGTGGAGAGCTGCCTTTTCCTCTTTCCTGCCTGCCCCAGTCCCATTGTGTGCCATCTGCAGGGCAGGCACACTTGACCTCTCACTCCAGGCTTTCCTGGCAGTGCCTTTCCCCAGGGGTCCTGGGGGCATGGCTGCAGCCCAGAGCTCCTTCCTGGAAAGGAGCCCAGTGGGTGCTTTCGTGGGGAATCCCAAAGCTGTTGGTGCATTTTTTCAATCCCCCAGGCTGCAACAGTGCAGAGCTGATTCAGGATTGTTGATGCTTGTGCTTTAGAGCAACATCTGGGTTTGCTCTGTTTGGAAATAGCTGCTCCCTCCCTGATGGCCATATGGCACTTCTTGGTGTGTCTTTATTCCCCAAAATGACAACATCCATGAGCAGGCAAACAGCTCCTTGGCTTCAGCCAGCCAGAGCTGTCCTTGCTCTCAGAGGGGGCTGCTTGCCTGGGCAGGGCACTGGGGCAGTGTGCCAGGGACTCGGATGACTCCAGGCCTCAGGGGAAACTGCTTTCCCTAGGAGAGATGTTACAGCAGGGATTCTGGGGAAGGGAGTGGGTGCCAGATCTCTTGCTGAGATCGACTAGCCAAACCCAGGGTGCAGCCTGTGCTGTACCATCCCCATTCCTGCCTGGGTGATGCAGCCAAGGCAGGGCCTGGCAGCTGCTGGAAGGGAAGGATGACAGTGGAACTGGTACCCACCTCGGCTACACCCCCCTGAGTCACCTACTGTAGATCCTGTCTGTGTTATCAGCATGGAATAATGACTCTGTGCCTGCCCTCCTGGCCCTGTCTCTGCCTGAAGTTTCTCTGGGAGCAATTGATGGCGACTGGTGACTCTTTTTCTCAGAAGCTGAAGGCACAGCAGCTGCCCTGCCCCAGACACGTGCTGGTACAGCAGGCAGGGCCTGGCAGAACAGGCATCCTGCAGTGTTTGTTTGCAGGACACACAATACCCAAGCTTTGAAGCCTGGCTTGGGATGAGGAGCCCTAAAAGCCAGTGCTGACCTGAGGCTGAAGTGGAACTTGGCCCTAGTTCTTTGAGTATCCCTGTGCCTTGAGTTGCTGTGAGTGGTTTTGATCCTGTTTGACTCCTGATTGTCCCGGCCTTTGTAAGTGAGTCTTGCTGTGTGTGCCCTGTTGTCTGAGAGCCAGGCCAGGTCAGCTCTGCTGTGTGAGATTTGCTGCCTGTCTCTGGCCTGCCCTGAGTTGCTGCAGTGCAAGTAACTCCTCTTTTTCTTTCCTCCCCCAAGGTGCCCGTGATCCCTGTGGTGTATTCGTCCTTCACCACCTTCTATAACCCAAAGACGAAACTGTTTACATCAGGTACCAAATCACTTGGAAACAGTGTTGATGTTGTCTCCTGTGGAGATTTGGTTCACAAGGGTGTGGGAGGGAAGCAGAGCTGGGGTGAACAGGAAGAGTCCCGCTGGGAGATGTTTGGAGTCAGTTCAAAGCGCTTGGCACCGGAACCTGGGCTGGGTTAGCTCAGGAAAGGCTGTAATTAAATACACTGAGGGATGTTTTCATTAAAGATTGGATACCACCTCTCCTTCTCTGGGCAGGCTCTGGCTGGGGTGGCAGTTTGGGGCACAAGGGGGATATTCTGCTTGGCACAGCTGTTGGTCTAACCACAGATCAGCCTCTGCCTGCACTCCAGGGATGGATGCCTGAAGCCCCAGGAGGGGATGAGGGCTGTGCTGGGGCTGCTCAGGGCAGGGAGCAGGGCAGAGAACAGAGCTCCTGTGGCATGTGGGTTTCTCACAGGCTCCTCTCTTGTTCCCAGGCAAAATCAAGGTGGAGGTTCTGCCCCCAATAGAGACCAAAGGCCTGACATCAGACGATGTCACCGACCTCACTGACAGATGCTTCGGCACCATGAGGGAGACCCTCTTCAGGCTGTCAGGCCGTCCAAGCGAGGCCAAGGACTCGTCCTAGAGGCTTCTCCAGTGATGTCACCGTGTGGTGGTGGCTGAAGGGACCTGTCTGTTGTTGCCAAATACTGAAGGAACTTCTCTTCCTCTGCAGTGACTTCTAACTCTGGGAACACCATGGACTGGCACACACAGGGTGTCGAGCCAGCACCGAGGTTCCCCTTCGAGCGGATTTCTCTTATGGGTTCATTTTCTCACTATGAAACGTCTCCTTTTTCTGAATTTCTCAGGCATCAAACTTGTGCTACCAAAGGGCTCAGTGACCAGAGGGGTGAGTTCCCCCAGCTCAGGCAGCTGGCACAGGGTGACAGCAAAAACCTGGCTGGAGCCTGGGCTCTGCCTCACGTGAGTGTCCCTGCACCTGTGCTCCTGCAGGCTCAGCCCTGGGATGTCCCAGATGGAAACCACCGGGCAGCAGTTTGTATCTGCACAACCTTGATGCTCAGAGAGGGCTGAGAACTGGGTGAAAATCCAGCTTTTGGCTTTTCAGCAGCGCTGGGAATGCAGTGTCCTCCCCGGACAGCCCAGAGCACTGCCACCCGGCACAGTGGGACTCAGTCTCCTAGAGATGCCAGCAGCATCTTGTTCTGGGAAACCGCTGGCAGCTCCCTGCCGTGGTGGTGGTGGCTCAGCCTGGCCACAATCCCGGTGCCTGCAGTGCCCCCTGACAGATGCAAAGGGCTCTGTCGTGCTCGTTTTGTCACTTGTCATGGTCAGCACCGGCCGAAAGGTGGTGCCTGTCCCGCGTGTCTCTGCCGGTCTCAGCGGAGCTGCCGCTCTCCGAGGCTCGTGAAACCCCCTCGGAGCCACGGGGTGGGTGAGCTGCAGCTGGAACAGGGCCTGGGAGGCTTCAGCTCTCCCTTTTGGGGACATGAATTCCCTTCCCGGTCAGATAAAGGGTGTTCCCCTGTGTTTTGGGGTGATGGATGGACCAACAGATCTCCTGGATCTCTCGGGGAGCTGTGAAGTGTTGATGCCCTTGGAGGCTGGGTCAGGTCCATGGTTCCTTCAGCTTTAGCTCTGCTGTTCATGGCACAAGGGACCTTGGGATGAGCCACCTGGGGCTACTCAGGTAACCAACACGACCAGCTTTTGCAGCCTGTGTTGGTGGAATTGCAGTTATATGCTATTTTGGGGTTAAAGCCTCAACTGGGAAAGGCAGGGAATTCTGTGGAGGGAGCCCTTGGGCCGAGCTGGTGCTGGCAGGGGCTTTATTGGAGGGGCCTTATGGTACAGACTCAGGGGTCAGACCCGCTGTGGGATGGGTCAGGGTGGGAGGATGGGAACCAAACCAGCACTTTGTTAGAGTGGCAGATAAAGGGCTGTCATGGAGGGTAAACCCAGGAGGGCCCTGGGAGGGTTCCTGGGGGATGGTAACCATGTCTGACTCCTCCTGGGAGGAGGGAGCAGTGCCTCTGTGTGCAGTTGTCTGCTGTTCACTTTTAATTGGGTTGAGGATGTTATGTGCTTTACACAAAAAAACAAATTACACCTGTGGTTATTTAAATAAAGGAGCCTCCTGGTCTTGTGTGGGAGCTGAGGGAGGAGGATGTGGGGTGCTGATCCCTCAGCTCTTGTAGGGAGGGGGTTTGGTGATCGAGGGGCACTGGGGGGTCCCTCCCAGTGCCCCCCAGGCAGAAGGGCTGTGCTTCTACTCCCCAAACCACAGGGATGGGCACCCACCCATAGGTACCCAGTGCAGGGGGCTGCAAGGACTTGTCCCCACCTTCTCCATGTGACAGCAGCGAGGGACAGCGTGGGGAGGCACTGCCCTGCTCGGGCCAGGCCTGTGCCTGCTGCTCCGTGGGAGAGCATGGCCCAGGATGGTGCTAAGGAAAAGCCAGGCAAAGCTAAACAAACTCAGCCTCACACACAGGCAGTCTGGCACAGCCAGGCACTCGTGGCACGAGGTAAGGCATTTATTTGCTGCCTCTCCAGCAGGAAAGGGGGAGATGCAGAGAGCTCAGAGTCCAGTTTGGAAGTAACTGTGTGACCTTTGATAAGGTGAGCTGGAAGAGAAAATTACGGAGATGCTGATGGGAAACCAGCCTTCTCCTGGTACCCTGTGCCTTCCTGTAGATGATGTGGCTTCGTCCCCAGCCTGGGGCTGGAGAGTGAGATAAGAGCTGCGGATGCACTCGGCTTGTTCCAAGGCCTCGGGTGTTCCACTAAAGTTCGTTCTTGCAGGAACCTGGGAAGATGGAAAAAAAAAAAGAAACAATGCAATAACATCCTCAGCCTGGGTTTGGTTTGTGAGATTGACCTTAACCTCTGTGAATATCACCCAAACTTGCAGCTTTCCCTTTGGCAAACAACCCTAGGCTGGCTCTGTCCCACCACACTCAGGAGTGTCACTCTCACCTCCCTGGTGCGTCACAGTCCTTGCCTGGGCCCTGTGCAAAGTGTCCCCAGTCTGTGCTGGGTCAGGGCTAACTCAGAGGGGCCAAAGCAGTTATGGCTTCAAGAGCTCTGATCTGGTGCCTTTGCTGGTGGTTTCAACAGAAAATAGTTTTCCTTGGTCCTTACACACATCCCCACTGAGCAGCTAACTGGGGAGTGCAGTTTTATTGTAGCATTCAGCTGTGAGATGCCTCACCAAGCACAGAGCATGGATGGCTGAGTGACTCCACGGGATGCTCTGCAAGCCCCAGGGCTTGCTGGAGTATGACAGGACAGCTTTGTGTCCTCCAGGGACTTGCAAGACCACGAAGAGGGACAAAAACAAGTTTTGCTTGCTGGAGCAGGCTTGGCAAAAATTTAATTTCAGCACTTTAGAGTCATCCCTTGGAATAAATCCATGTTACCTTGTGATACTGCTCACATTCCTCAGCGCTGTCACTAATAATATGTGCAGAGCACTGCTAGGAAACTCGGTCTGCTGGAACACTCCATGGTTCTGATAATTACCCCTTTCTGAGATGTTTTTTAAGTGTCTATTTGCAGCCACTTTTGTCTTCAAACAAGTTCTTTGAATTCTTTTCCATCTAAGCCATTACTGGAAGCAGTGAACTGGGACTGGATATGCCCTGAACCGGTTTCCCTTGAGTCTCCTGCCACGAGCTCCAGGCTGTTGCTGCACACCAGCTCCTGAGCTGGCCCAGCCATGCCTAGTTTCTGGAATTATTTAATGGGAAAATGAGCTGCAAAGAGCTCCCTATCAAAATAAGATGTTCACATGGTTGTGCTCTGCTTGGAGTCAAACTGCCATGCTCCAGAGCACCACAGGGCCACGAGGGGATGCTGCCCCTCTCTGAGGTGCCATGGGGGGACATGCCAGCCAGGATTCACCACCTCCAGCCACTTCACACGTGACAGCTCTCACTGGAGTCTCTTGCTCAGTTTGCTACTTGGCAGACCCTCTCAGGTCCACTGCTTGGTCTGTAGGCTTCAAAAAGAAATGCCCAAAACTTCCCAGGCTCGTAAATCTGCCAACTTTTGCACGCTCCTTAAATTTTCCTGATTGACTTCTTGGACTGTTAATTTCCTAAGAGCTGGGGGTTCTTTTCTAAGGACCAAATTACAAGGATACAGGAAGGGACTGCAGCCATGAGGTGCTGATTGCCAGTCGTGACCCACTGCTCACAGTGGCTTCCCCCCTGCTCTGCCCCACAGCCACGTTTCTTTGTGCCAATCTCACAGTTTTTGGCTGCTACACGGGCAGTCAGATGGTGCAGCCACAGAAACAGTCTTTGAAATGAAGCTAATGGGCTGCTTGTGTTCATCTTCTATTAATTGCAGGCTGCTGAGCTCGAGGGAGATCTAGATTAACAGTGGCATATGTGTTACTGATCTCGCTGGCCCGCATCTGCTCACCGTGGCCGGTGTGGGTGGAGGGAAATCCTTCAGCCCTGCTTTCTCCAGGCACTTACACGTCTCCAGCCGCTCCTCCAGGAAAGAGATCTGCTCGCTCAGGGAGTCAATTCTGTCCAGTTGCTGGAGGGAGTGGGACAGTCGGCTGATGGGGTCTGTGCCGACGTCCTCCGGCGCCGACGGCATGAGGTTGTGGAAGGGGGCCAGCACCAGCTGGAGTTTCTGCAGGGAGAAGGGGAGGCATGAGTGTGTCCCCCCACACCAGGAGGACCTCCTGGGGGGAATGCAGCACCCACCAGGGCAGGCTTGTGGGGCTTTGGTGGTGTTCAAAGAGCTGCTGGGCTGGAAAAGCCGCGGCGTGGGTGCTGCCGGCAGCGTGGAGCACAGCTGGGATCGCTGCTGGGATCGCTGCCGAGGCCAAGTTAAAAATAGAGCTGGGGAAGAGGGAAACCCTGGCTGCAAACAGCCCGGGGTGGGAGCTGGCTCAGCACAGCCTCAAGCAGCACCAGGGCAGGGCAGAGGGGTGTGCTGGAACTCACCTGCTCCAGCGCTTCCACTCGGCTCCTCAGGTCGTTCATTTCTTCCTTCATTTCACTGGAGGGACCTGAAAAAGTGACCAGGGGAAGGTCAGTCAGTAAAAACCCTGTGCCCAAGGTGAAATGGAAGGTGCTGGGGAGAAAGACATTGCTGCAGGGCTCAGGCCAAGCTCTGCTGTTTTGCCCTGCCCTCCCAGTGAGCCCCCAGGGTGTGCCCTGCTGGAATCAGGCCCCGGAGCATCAGCTGGATCCAACACCTGCTGCAACCACTGGCATCTAGTCCAGCTGCTAATGGCACAGGCCTCTCATGCTGCTGGAGCACCTGCAACAAAGTGGGGGATTCTTCAGGTAGTGGGGTGATGCTTGAAGGATGAGGTGGAGCCTGGCCTTTGGCACCCGCGTTGTCAGCGAGCACCCAGGTCTGCCCTGTCCCACGGTGGGCGCAAGGAGTCGATCCTGCTGAGGGCTCAGGACGGGGATAAAGGCAGGTGTGGCACGTGCAGGTGGTGATGCCCTGCTCTCCCAGGTGTTTGCTGCGTGCTGCCCGTGCTGGCCACAGCGCATTATTACTCACGGTACGAGTTTGAAGTGTCACAGCGCGTACCAAAAGTAATAATGGGCCGTCACCAGCGCCGCTCCTCGTGGCTCCGGACCTGCCCTGCGGGAATGACGATGGTGGTGGAGAGAACAGGCACATCCCGGACACCTCAAGCCACAGCCAGGCTGTGTCACCCTCACAGACGGATTTGTGCGCAGGGGAAGTTGTTTGGGTGGCAGAGGGACTCCTGGGCCACCGAGAATAAAGCCGAGGGGTTCTCTGGCTGTCGTCCCCTCTCCTGCCACAGCTGTCCCACCCTGTGACGCTGAGTGTTACCCCCAGCCCTCTGAAGGCCCAGAGCAGCTGGGGCTGCACTGGGGAGACAGGTTACCTGCTTGGCTGAAGGTGTCCACCTCGGGCACTGGCACCAGGGGCTGGCAGTCCTTGTCATCGGCAGCGAGGGTGAAGCCGTCCTGGCACGTGCAGCGGTAGCTCCCGGCTGTGTTGATGCAAAGCTGGCTGCAGCCATGGCTCGGGCCAGCACATTCATCCACATCTGAAATACAGGAATGGCTCAGTGAGGGCAGGAGGGATGGGGGTGAGGGGCACAGATGGCTCAAGCACAGGGGGGCTGCAATGGAATTCCAGCAAGTGCCCCCGGAATGAGCTGGTGTTTGTGCTGGGCACAGCTCTGGGGGTCTCAGCACCACCAGCACCAGGGACAGCCCAGCTGGATAAACCTGTGCTAAGCCCGAGGGGGCTCTGGCCTCCTCCCTTCTGCCCACTCCCCCCACAGCAGAGCCAGAAGCAAAAGCTGTGGTCAGAAACGTCTCTGCTCAGGCCAGGCGGGCGCAGGCAGCGCTCGGCTCTCATCCCGGATTTACGGCCGGGGTTTTGGTTCCAGCCAGCTGTGGTGAGGAGCCATCAGCCTTTCAAGTGTGTACAAAACCCAGTAACCTCTCCTCACACGGGGGAGTTATTAGAGCTGTTCCCACAAAGCAGAATGAGCTGAACCGCTTCCCACGCCCGAGCTCTGTTTTAGGCAGTGGGAAAATCCTTTCCCCCTGCGCTGGAGCCGGAGCTGTCAGCGATGGGCTCAGCCCTGCCTGGCCCAGCGTGGGTCAATGCCACACACTCGCTCCTCCTCTGCCTCACAGGAGGATGGAAAGCTGGGAAAAGCTGGAAAACGCCATGGCAGGGGCTTTGCACCACTGGTGTGCACCCCCCTGCCCGATTTCCCTGAGCTGGGAGGAGCATCGCTCTGCTCCTGTGCTGGAGAGGAGCCTGGTGCCTGGAGACTGCCAGGCTTCCCTTCCACCCCCAGATATTTTGGTTTATGGATTTAGCCTCTGCAGTAAATGGGTGTCTTAGCAAAAAGCCTGGGAGAGGGGATATTACAAATGACCAGCTGCAGAGAGAAAATGGATGTGCCAGGGCTGACAGTACCTGTCTGGCAGGCTCGCCCCGTCCAGCCGGGTGGGCAGGCACATCTGCCAGGGAAGGTGCAGCTCCCGCCGTTCTGGCACGGCACCCAGCAGAGAGCTGTGGGAGGAAACACCAGCAGAGCATCACCCAGCAGCTCTGGGGGGCCTGAGCTCCCCCACTCCCACCCTGCATGCAACACACACACTGCACACCCCAAAACACACACCAGCACCAGGCCAGGGGCAGCAAAGACAGAGGGAGGAGGGTGATGGGCAGCAGCAGGCCCTGGGAAGCCCCCAGTGCCAAGCTCTGAGCTCGTCAGGGGATGGACTGACTGCTGCTGTGGTTTGCATTTGTGGCCTCCTGAAAGCACTTCTCTTCCATTACTGCTGATTTATGTGGAAAGGAATTACTTGCTTTATTTATCCTCTGTTGACTATAGAGGTAATGAGCAATCTCAAAGGAAAAGGGCCCAAGAGGCAGCAGAGAAAGGCTGGGAATTAATCAGATATTGAACCGCATTTGGTTGTGATGCTTAAAATTTAAATGCTTTCCTAAAGGGAGAATCCACCTGACAGGCAGAGTGTTGGTAAATGAGAGAACTGGTCCTGGGCTTCCTCCAGGAACTCGAGGGAATCTGGGGACGGGCACTGGTCCAGCAAACTCTTACCTCTGTTGCAGCTGAGTGTGTGGGTGTTTGCTCTGCTCCAGCCGGGACAGCATGAGGCCACGGGCTCGGGCAGCTGCCTGTACCTCTGCCGATAGGCAACCCTGTAGATGGTCCTGCAATGAAAGGATGGGGCTGAGCTGGGTACCAGAGCACCTTCCCCAAGCCCCCATCCCATTCCCTGCGCTGGCATTCACCACCAGGCACCGGTAGCATCGTCCCTTTGGATCAAGGCAGGATTGCCCCCTCCCGCAGCCCCCCTGGTTGCTGCCGTGCTGGGAGCAGGTCTGTGGCACAGGCAGTGCCCTCACCTGTAGGTGCTGCAGACCCGGTGGCCCTGGCAGGTGGTGAGGTAGGGCTGGTAGACGGGCTGGACGTGGGACTCGGTGTAGGCGCCCGCCCGGCTCTGCGGCGCCGCGGCACAGACCCTGCGGCTGAGCAGAGGGGACAGGGTCACATCAAACCAGCCAGGACGGGGCCTGGCAGCCCCTCTCTGCAGAGTGAAACAGCAGTGCCTAATTGCCCCAGTGCCCTGGGAGGCCACTTCAAGCTGTTTTGGGACACTGACGTAAATCTGGAGCACTTTGGGCTGCACAGGCACTTCCTCCCCTGCCCCTGTGCCAAGGCACTGACGCCTCCTCAAACACTCACCCAGCATGGTCCCTCTGCCCCAGGGGAGCAGGCAGGACCTGCAGATTTAGGGATGATTTACTCTTTCCATTCATCATCTCCCTTCCCCTAAAATCATTCACTTTCTGGGTGGATTTTTTTCCTTTCCAAGACTTTTCACATTCCTGAAACGGATGCCCCTGTGGTCACTAAGAAATTAATGACTTCACAGGCAGGGTCAGGCTCACCGCAAAAAAAATAGAGGCTAGATGAAAGGGGCCCTCCAGCCTTCCTAAGATAACTGTTATCCAGCCAAAAACTTTCCCAAGGTTAACAGCCAAAGTGGTCTTGGTTAAATACTCTCTTTTTCAACATTTTCCAGCCCAAGCAGGTCAGTCCCACTGAGGAACTCATCTCCTCATCTCAGCCTCCCAGCTCAATCAGAAACTAAAATAAAAAGCCTGGGAATTAGCATGGACATCAGATGGCTTCCATTAACTCCAGAAAACTCCTCTCAGCCTCGTGATTAATGTTATAGAGGACGCAATTTTTAAATGGCAATTGTTTGCTTTGCAAAATTTAGAATAAAGCTCTGGTTGCAGCCTGTGCGTGCAAGCGAGGAATTCAGCTGTGGTTTTAGTCCCAACCAGAATGTGAAAGGTTTGACGCTGGAGGAGCATTTCAGTGTAAAAACAAACTTTGTAGAAAATGTGAGCTGTATCTGGGGGTGGATGTTGAGCTCCAGCTCCTCTTGGCTGGGGAAGAAACTGGGGCACGGAGCTCTGGGCTTCCTCAAACCCAGCGGGAGCTGAGCTGTGCCTGCCCAGGCCGTGCTGGGATCCTGGGTGCCACGTCAGATCCTTTTCCTGGAAAGGGAAGGAGAATTGCTGGGTTTGCAGGGCCACAGACCACAGCACCATCCTGGGAGCGCAGGGCACAGCAGGCACCAGCCCACCAGGGCATTTCACACCTGTGTCCATCAGAGATGGGAGCTGCATCCTCCTTTGACAGCTTATTCACAAGGCTCAACTGCTGTGACTGACAGCAAGATTTCACAAATATTTTTGTGAAGGATGTGCTTGAAAGAGACAATAATAATAGTTCCTGAACAGTTCAGGGCCTGATCACCTTTTGACTCTCATGGACAAAAAGCCCAGAGTGTCTTTGTGTCCCTCTATGGAGCTAAACGGGCATTTCCTCTGAGAGGTTTTTTAGCTTCAGTGACAAAGCAAACAACCAGCAAAGGGCTGTCAGAGCCTTTTTCCACCTCCTGACCAGCCCGGGGAGCTGCCCATGTCCATGCTGGACAAACAGGGCTCTTCAACCATGGCATGCAGATGGGCACACCTGGGAGGTGCAGACAACACGGGGCCTTACCCTGCCCGGGCAAAGCCATCGGTGCTGGTGGTGCCGAGGATGAGGAGGAGTCCCGAGAGGAGGCAGCTGAGGTGGCACATGTCCTGATCCTCCCACAGCACCCCGGGCTGTGCAGCACGACCGGCTCTCGCTCTTCAGTGGGATGTGCTGGTTCCTACCACATGTCCTGGCCTTCAGCGTGGATCCCTGCAACCAGGAGAGGAGCAGTGTGAGCATGCACGTCCTTCCCCAGCTGGTGACATCTGACAGAGCCATGGGGACACACCTCTGGCAAGGGGAGAGCTCCTCCAGGCACAAACCCACTTTTCCCCACTCGTCTCAATACTGTGGCAGTGATTTACCCCAGGGGATGCCTGGAGAGGCTCTCACAGCACCAGGGTCCACTCAGTCATGTGTTGAGAGACAGGGAAGGGACCTGTGTCGCCTGAAACACTCTGCCATTTCCAGGCAGTGAGGGCAAAACAATGGCCCCTAATTTCTTAATCCATACAGCATTGTAAAGCTGTGTTTTCCCACCACATAACACACTGAAATCTGATCTTCTTCCCTTTAAAATACAAGTTCATGCCAGAGAAAACTGCTGCAAGGGCCATATGTACCGTCTGCAGAGTCAGATCTGAGCCGCAAATAAAGAGGTTTTGATTTTCTAGCCGAGGACGAACATGAAACAAGGCAGAAGAAGGTCAGTAACAATATCTAATTTAAACAGTATTGCATTTAAACAAACCAGTTGGCCTCCGGATGGCAGCAGCTGAAGGAGGAAGAAATAAAGAAACCCACCTTAAACATACACCAATTAAAGAAAGAATCAGCTGTTCTGACTAAACCTTGAGAAAGAGGAGGTAACACAAGAAACCTCCTTCTAAAAGTGCAAATGTGGTGGCAGCAAACCAATTTGCTCAAATCCCAAATGCTGTGGGGTGGGATTGTACTGGAAAGTTGCAGGTGGGTCCCCAATCTCCATCAGGATAATTCCTAACTCTGAGTACCAGTTGTTAGGGATAACCAGCATATATCTGTATACCCTGCAGGTCTCAAAGACCTCCTCCAAGGCACTCAGGACCATCCTTTCCTTTGGGCAGGTAGAGAAACTGAGACACGGAGAGATGGAGACACACCTGGAGAGAGACCAGTCTGGTGCCTTCCTGTTCCTTAATATCAAATATCAAACACCAAATATCATATATCACAGCATATTTCCAGGCAAGCCCAGTTTTGAGGATGTGAGGAGGATTTTGGTGCTATAGAGCCTGTAGTCCTCCATTCTCCTCCAAACAGAGCAATAAATTTCATCTCCTAATGACTGATTTATGGTATCTCCACCACCAGGAAAGCAAAGTGTGCTTGACCTGCAGGAAAGTTTTTTAAAAGTAGCAGAGAAGGCTTTTTTTCCCCCCCCAGTTCTCCTGGAGACATCCCAAGGACACTGGTGTACAGATACACTAACTCCCCTCTGCTCCACCAGCCAGCTTTTCCCAGGGCTATACTGGGACACATATTTTCCCTACAATCCCAGATCCCCAGGCTAGCAATGCTCCTTCTGAAGTCTCTAAGTCAAACTCTGCCAACCAGCTCCATCCTCCCACAGGATTCCCGTGACTGCCATTGGAGCTTTCCCTGTGGGGACGGCAAAAAAACACAAGGCACGAGCCTAAAATACAGACAGTTTGTTTTTTCTCTTTGAAATGGAGCAGCACTGCCCTACCTCGAGTGGTCAGAGGATCCCTCTGGGTCATAAAATTACAGTTGCTTCACACCAGAAAAAGTTGCAGAAGTGCAAAACATGATAGTCTATATTTGTCTTTTTTATGAGTTTATGAAAATCAGCCTCTTTATAGCCACTGAAGATCTTCCAACCTGTTGCCACCACCTATTCTACTAATATTGCTCTTTTAACGCATATAACTGAAGAAAAACCTTTTTATGCTTAAAAAAAAAACAAAACAAGTTTCTGGTCACTGCCTTTCTAATCTCTCAAATGAAACTACGTGGGTGCCTCTAAGTTTCTGCCGCTTCAGGAGCCAGCAAAGCCTCCTTGGCTGGCCACATGCTCCTGTGAGTCTGAGGATCCTTCTCCTGCCAGTCAGAAACATTCCCATAGCTCTCCTAAGTCTGCTCTTGCCTCACCTGCCACAGCAACCAACAGTAAACCCACAACCCACCATGCAGGTGAGCAGTACTTCGTCCAGCTCTGCCCACGGAAACAGGACTAAAGATCCAGCTGATGGCAGCAGGAGGAATCGGGCTCTGTCTGCAAAGAGATGTGAGACAATCCAGCCCCTTGGGAGGATGCAATAAACCTCACAGGCTGCACTTTTCCCAACAGCCTGGCCTGGTTCTGCAGGTGAAACCGCCGCTCCAAAGCCGTGCACTGGCCCTGGCCTGTGCCCGTAGAGCCAAACTCTCCTGGAGAGGGTCTGCACCAGCCGCAGGGGGATGGATTGTTCCTTACAGACACCTCCAGCTGTTCCCTGCGCAGGCTGGGATGCGGCACCGCGGGGCACGGCACCGGGCGAGGGAGGGATGGAGCGGGACACGGGGATGCGGCACTACGGAGCGGGGAGAAGGGAGGGGGAACAGCGGAGGGGCTAAGGGGGTACGGCACAGTGCGGCGGGACACGGGGACACCGGGACACGGGGGCTGCAGGGACACCGTTATCACGCAGGGACCCGGGAATCACGGGGCGGGCTGCGGGGACCCCCGGAGGCCGCGGGGGGCTGCAGGGACGTGGGTGTCCGAGAGGCTGCAAGGTCTCCAGGGACACGGATGCCCCGAGGGGCTGCAGGGTCTGCAGAGACGCGGGTATCCCGGGTGTCACAGCCTCTAAAGGGACGCGAGTGTCCCGGGGGGCTGCAGGAACTGTAGGGACACGGGTACCCCGGGGGGCTGCCGGGACGCGGCGCAGGGATGCTCATCGCGGCCGCAGCAGCCCCATCCCCGCTCCCCGGCGCTGTCCCCCCGGGACAGGCGGAGCCCTCCCGCCGGCCCGGCACTGCCTGCAGCCCCGCATCCCCTCTGCCGGGCCAGGGAGCCCCCCCGGCCGCCCCCCCAGCGCTGCGGTACTGAGCCCCGCTCCGCCGACACCCCCGCCCCTCCCCGCCGGGCGATGCGGCCGCGGCCCCCCCGGCCGTGCCGAGCCCCGGGCGGTGCCCGCCGGGACTCACCGGTGGCGGTGCCGGAGCCGCGGAGTCTCCGCCGCGCCGCGGCCCCCGCGCATTTCCTCCCCGGCCCGAGCCGGTCCCTCCGCCCCGGCCCAATGAGCTCCCGGCGGGAGGAAGCGGAGCCTCCCGGCCGGGGGGAAGCGCCGGGGCCCTGGGAGCCTCCGCCTGCCCCCGCCCCGCCGGCCCCCGCCGGCCGCCACCTGCCCCCGGCGCCCCGGGGCACGTCTGGGGACAGGGCAAGACCGCGGAGAAATCAGTTCTTGCGGGGGACGAGTCATGCGGAGATAGGGCAGGACCCCCCCAGGAGCCCAGCCCGGGGTGGGGGGACACGCTGGTGTCATGCCCCGTGGGTTTTCGCTGCCCCTGATGGAGACGGGATTGCAGGGAACCCTTGCCCTGGATTGATCTGGAGCCTTACCTGGTGACCCCACGTCAGGGTGAGCCCCTCAGCCCCACGCTGCGAGGACACGAGGTCCCTGAGCCCCCCTGTGGCCCAGCCCGCCTGGGTGGGCAGGGGATTATGGCAAGAGGGGGGAGATCCCAGCGCAGCCCCTGCCCCTCGCCCAGGGGTGTTCAGACCCCCCGGGGACATAGTCCATCGCCAGTGCAGTGCCCAGGGCAGACTTGTTTCTCTTAGCTAAAAAATACTGTGGCTGGCTCCGCACTCCCCACGAGCACATATAATTTTAAGTGGAGACGTATTTCCCTAGGTTAGAGACCTGGTCCGCAGCCTCCCGCAGTGCCCCGTTAATCCCCCTGAGCTCATTACCACACCCAAGTCCTGCAGAAGCCGGCAATGAGCTGCCAGGGCTGGGAGGGTAGTTTCCAAGGAGCCCTAAAGGATGATTACAGGATTCCTTGGAGGGCCCCCCCAGCTGTGAAACCGTGTGAGGATCGACCCCGAGAGACTCCCAAGGGTGGCACACTGGGCTCAGCTCCGGCTAGGCAACACCTGCCCCGGGACAGCTCAGGCAGCCCCATCCCAGCTGCCTACAGGCTTCTCCTCTTAAAATGCCCCGTTATTTATCAAAGCATTTCGGTTTGTGCCAAATTGCCACTTGTTTTGTCTACATTTTTGTCTGGAAAATTAGAGCACAGAGGCTTATTGTTTTTCAAATGACTTAGGCGCCTGCCCATGCACAGAACCATTCTTGAAGATAGCGGGGATCTGATGTGCAAATGAATGGCAGGATACAGCCCCCTGGGAATATTTGTTCCCATTAAGTTTTGTAATTTTTTTGAAAGCATGTAAGCATTTAAGGGAAATATTTAACAGTTAAACAACAATGGCGCCAAAAGAGCAACTGAGATCACTGGCCCATCCCCTCTGTTTCCTCAGGGATATGCTGAGGCCGCTGGTGGAACTGGAGCTGTCTCGGGTCGTGCTGCCCCCCCCGGGGAAGCTGATGGGTGCTGGTGTTCTGGAGTGGGGCTCTCCGTGTTAAAGGAGCTTTGGTGGGATTCTCCCTGAGGAAGGGAACAGAGAGGAATCCGCTCTGGGATGTGCTGGTGGAGATGGAGTTCCATTGCCATGGGAGATGGGATCCCTCCCAGCAGCAAAGGAAAGGCTTGCTGGTGCTGGTGGAAGCAGAGCTCCACGTTACACAGCATCTCATACAGCACACACAGGGTTGCTCACCCTGTGGATCCATCCTACCTCCCGGGAATGATTTCAGCTCATTTAATCTCCTAAACACGAGGCAGAGGCAACTTTTCCCAAGAGCACTGAAGGGACGGTAATTATCTTGTTACGCTGAGAGTGTTACTGTTTTTTCTGGTGTATGGGGGAGATGAACAGAGCCTGAATTATTGTCTAATAATTGCAAAATGCGTTTGGAAGCCAAGGGAAAGCTTCTCCGTCTGGCCATGCTGAATGCACAGGATCTCATTTTGCAGCTGAGACACTCACCTTATCCACGGTGCTCCATCACATGTCCTGGGCAGGGATCCTTTCCTTAAGGAGCATCTTGGTTTCTTACTGTCAGGACAGAAAAAGCCCACTGTTACACTCCCCTTGTCAGGCAGGCAGAGACCAGTGACCCAGCCCTTGCCCATGATGGGCCTGGTGTGGGATGCCCTGGACACTCCCCAAGGTGTGGAGCTGTGGAGGATGAAACATTTGTGGAGGTTGGAGGATGAAAGCAGGATCGTGAGTCCCCATGGCACTGGCACTGAGCTCACACTGCTGGCGTGCCAGAGGCACAGACACTGTGACACCGTGGTAGGGGACAGGAAGGCCCTAACTGCTTGGGAAACCTGGGATCCCAAGTGTAAATTTGATGGTGAGGAAGAGGATGGACTCATCCTTCAGCTCTTTGCAGGACACCACCCAGCACAGGACCAAGCACACCGCCTTCCAGGGTCCCCACTGCAGCCTTCTCAGCCATTAAGCAATTATTCCCTAAGTGCACTGAGCATTTTAAAATTCTGCCAGTATTTTAATTGCAAAATGTTTGCTTTCCAGTTCCATTTACTGAGTCAAATCTTTGCTCAAGCAAGTGCCCATTTCAACTGTTAAAGAACTGCATATAGCCCATTAAAAGAGCATTTAATCCTCTGCTCTTGGGGAGGGTTCGGTGTCTTATGTGCTAATATTCATTATGCTGGAAGGAAATCCCCAGGACACTGCCTGGCAAAGTTCCCTTGGAAGCAGAGGAGTTATGCCAGTTCAGAGTGAGGGAATATCAGATCTGTTGGCACTGTTAAGGTCGGTGTGATGAGCTTCTGACAACGGCAGCAAGGGATTTTGGCTCCTGCCTGCAAGGCTGTCTGAATTTGAAGTCCTCCCTTGACCGATGTTTTACATTTTTCCCCCACAGCTTTCTCCCTCACACACTAGAAGTGTACTCCCACGACATCTAATATTAATGCTTGTCTCCAGGCCAAGAAAGAAATGTTTCTGCCCAGCCTCCCTCTTAGATTTAACAATGTCAAAACCTCCTTGTCTCCCACTGGTTTTACCGCCAGCGTGAGCTGTGAAGGACACAGAGTGCTGGCCTGGAGCAGGTCTCAGGCTGAGGGCTGGGCTGGCTGGGAAGGTGAGATTTTCACCCACCCCCTCATTTCCTAGAGCCTGTCCCACAGACCTGCCAAGCCCAGTGCACCTGCCTGGGCATCCAACATCCCCCTGAGAGCATCTGTGGTGAATCAAGGGATGGAGCTGGGTGCTGGAAGTGGTCCCCTGTGTGATAGGAGAGCTTGGAGGGTGTGAGGTATCAGGGGATGGGGGGGACTTAACTTTGCTCTGGCTCTGTAGGCATGAAAAAGGAATAATAACAGAGGAGAATTAATAGGAGATCAGCACTAAAGTCCCACGTCAGAGAGGAGCACTTCCATCCCATCACAGAAAACGGGACGTGCCCAGGCACACGAGCGCTGCCCCAAAGTGAGGCCAGAGGAGCTGAAACGGCAGATGGATGGGGGGACAGGCAGGACAGTGACACACATACAGATGCAAAACTTTTCAGCTGCTACAAGCCCTGGCTGACCCTGTACCTGCTGTGGACAATGGGCTCTCGCTGGCCTCCACGGGGGTCTGGCACAGAACTGGAAGCACTTGCTAAACCAATAGGAATTTTTGGTGCTTCTCAAAAAAAGGGGGGGGAACGGCTTTTCCTGTTCTAGTACAAATTCTTCTGCTCAGGTTTTTCACAGGGCTGTTTGTAAACTTTACACTTGAGCTGAGGCTTTGGAGCAGCCCCTCTTCTGCTGAGCCCTGTGAGGAAAATGACCTCCCACTATTCTATTATGTCCTATATTGTTCTCAGCTGCGTCAGCTGCAGACCAGTTATCTCAGTGGAAATCTAGATGAGTCCACTGATGGCAGTGGGATAAAAACAGGTCAAACCAAGAAAAGTACTTGGCCTGTAGCTCTCAGTCTCTTGTCACCAGTTGCCCAGGGTTCTGTGTATTATAACCGAGACTGGAGCCCCACAAAGTGATTTTTTTTTTGCCTGAGTAAGGACTTAACAAGCATTAAGTGTCTCAGGACTAGTGGGTTATAACTTAAGGTGACCGTGGGGACAACCAGCAGCCAAACTGCAGCTGTGCAAAAACAAATGCAGGAACAGGGCAACATCCCATAGCCAGGTTTATTTTCCTTTGCATGCACACTTGAGCTCTTTATTTACATTTAGAGGAGGCAGCAGTGGTTGCAGTGTAAAAACTGGGAAATGATTCATCCCACCAAGCAATAAACTAAATTTTGCAGCTTTCTGTGAAATTACCCGGCAAAACATGGCATTAGTCAGCAGGGAATCATCCCCCACCCCACTTCCCCAGTGAATCACTCCAGAGGAGCACATGGGAAGTGCAGTGGGATAGCTGGGAGATGCAGGACAGCTCAGTCCCTGAACCGTGACCATCCTAGGGAGCAGCTCAGCAAAGAGCATTTCACACAAGAAATTTTTGCTCTGATTATCCTCCCTGCCCTCACCTCCCAGGCTGTGAGCAGGACAGGGATCCAAGAGCTCGCTTCGGGAGAGAGGACAGAGAGCAAAAGAAAACATTTCCGATCACCCCCTTCTCTTTGCAGAGAAGCTTTTCTTTCCCTGTCTGATCTGAGACCTCTCCCCTGTTGTTTTGCCATGCCCCCCTGCTGCTGGTGGGGCTTTGAGACAGGTTGTTTTACCCTAATTTGTTGCAGTTTGTAAATCTGCCTCCCCCGGGCCAGCCCCATCTGCAGCAGCAGAGCCTGGGAAATGGCTCGAATGAGCCTCCAGACCAGATTCAATTTCTCTTCCTTACCTCCAGGGAAACTTGTGAGAGACGGTAGTGGAACAGCAGAGAGGGGGGAGTAACTCCATCAGCAGATCACAGGGAAGAACACTGAGAATCTGCCAGGATAGACTCAGTGTTTTCCACTCCTGCCCAGAGGTGGATTTCTGAGGATGCTCAGGATCCAGCCACCACATTTGGACTTCTGCCTCACACCGCTTCCCAATCCAGTCTTAAATTAATTTTATCCCTGACAAAGCCTTGTTGTTTCTTCTTATTTTTTTTTTTTATTCTCTGCTCAGTTAATTGATTCCACAAATATTAGACCCTTGGAAAAAGCATGCTGGGTTATTTCTACCGAGAGCATCCACTGGTGTGGTTCTGCTCCATATTCCCACACAGCCAGACAGTGCCTGGGGTATCTTAGCTGCTCCTTTATCCCAAAATACAGGTAGCTGAAAACAGGCAGCATGAAAATCAGCCGGATCCGTGGCTGTAAATTTGGGAGGCTTCACTGAGCTCCTGGCATGCACACCCGGCACGCTCCAAGCTCGGCTGTTAGGCAGGACAAAGCCTTGGTGGGAGAGCCAGGAGAGTCCCTGCCCACATCCCTGTCCTGCCCCTCATCCTGCCTGGATCTGGGGCTGAATTTGACAACACGGAGAAAAGACTGGCAGGCAGGGAGCACAGGGGGAAGGACAGACAGCACAGTGGTGTATCAGTGGTCAGAGAGCAGGCAAAGGAGAAAGGGAAAGAGTAACGGAAAGTAAAAAGATTTGCTAAGAATTTCCAGCCATCTCACAGGAATTTGTGCAGGAGGTAAAATTTACCCGCAGAGTTCTGTGCTCCTGGAAAACATGCTGAGTGCCAGTGGGGTGAATTAACAATAACAGTGCTGCAGGCTGAGCTCCACTCGGAGCAAAGCAGACCCAGCCTCACCAGGAGCTCAGGTGGAGGATGCTCTACACACCTTTTTGCTTTAAAGGACGCTTTACACACCCTTGTGCTTTGAAGGATGCTTTCAACACCCATGTGCTCCAAAGGATTTTTTATACCCCTGTTTGCTCCACGCTGCTCTATTCCCAGGGCTCCTACTGTCACCTCTGCCTGAGCAGGGACAAAGCCACCCAGAGCCCGGAGGGTCTCACCTGGCAAGGACACACTCCCGCTGCCCCAGCGCCAGCTCCACATCCCATCCCATCCCATCCCATCCCATCCCATCCCATCCCATCCCATCCCATCCCATCCCATCCCATCCCACTGTGGCTCTACGGTACCTGTGGCACCCCACTGTCCCCCGCCGCGCTGGGAGCGGCCCCAGTGCCGTGCTCCCGGATGGCTCCCGGTGGCCATCCCTGCCCGGCCACCCGGGGTCCGGCGGGCCCGGGCACCCGCCCGGCATGGCCAGTCGCCGGCCGCGCACAGGCAGGAGGTGGCTTCTGAGGTGGAAGGGCGGCTTTTTATGCTTTTCTTCCTGTATAAATCAGGCCGGGGATGGACAATCCCAGACAGGACTTCCTGTGTGTGTTGTGAGCTGATAACGGGCGCCGCGAGGAGAACAAACACGGCCGCCCCGCACCCCGAGGGGGAGAGGGGCCGTGGGGCGGCACCCCCACACTGTGACCATCCCCCCACCGGGGATGGACACAGGGGGCTGAAATGGAGAGGAGGGAGACATGAGTCCCCAGGGACACAGGGAGGGATAGGGCGGCCGCCCGGTCTCCCTCCTTCGCCTCACACCAGGCCTAAGATGGGTCCCTGCCCCCTGCCCTCCCACCTCGCTGGGGCACATTTTGGCAGCACCCATCACAGACACCACTCATTCTCCCTCAGACGGGGTGGATCGGAGGCAAGTGGGGACCCGCATCCTCCCTCACAGCCCGTGCCAAGTGTGGCGGGGTTGGCGGCCATCTTCTCATGAGGGGTCGGGGTTGGCGGCCATCTTCTCATGAGGGGCTGGGGTTGGCGGCCATCTTCTCATGAGGGGCTGTGTTGATGCTACGCACCAGCGGAGCACGTTCTGGGGTATTTGTGACCCCCTGAAATTTGGATTACAGCACTGTGGTCTGTCAGTTGGCTGGATGGCTTGTCACCCCTGCCACACTGTGCCTGTGTGGGGAAGGAGTGAGGTACACGCAGTTTGGGTGACAAAACCTACAGGACATCAGCCAGCAAAGATGGCGCCTTCAGGGCCAGGCAGCACAGAAACATGAAAACAACTGCCTCGGTGCCCTAATTTTCAAGCCCATTCTGGTGCAAAACTGATTATGATTTCGAATTTAATACACGTGTATGTGTGACCTTGGTTCTGGGTGACCAAAGGAGGAACAATACGGTTTTTTGATTGTATTTTGAATCTTTGATCTGGACCATGCTAAGAAAGGAGACATTTTGGAAGCATGAGGGCTGTGGCGGTGGCAATTATATCTCGACCCTCAGGACCTCCACAGCAGCCTGTGGGTTCTGCCCCTGTCCTGGCAGAGCACATGGTGTGGGTTTAGGGACACGTGCCATCTGGGGCTCCCCTGGAGCAGAGCTGTGTCCCTGGCTCGTGCCGCACGTGCCGGGGTCCTCCCCATTATGCGCAGGCTCACGGTGAGCACAGGAGTACTCCCACCCTGATTCAGCAAAACACTACTCTGGGCAAGTCCCCTGGGAGTTGCAAAATATTCCTGTGTTTATTTATATAAATGCATGGCTAAAGAAAGCCCCCTCTTGTTTTCCTTGGCAGACGGGGTTTTAAAGGCTGCTTTCTGCTGCCCATCATCCTCCCCAGCAATAGGTGACTGTATAAATCGTGTGCTGCTGGCAGCGAGCATTCCCAGCTGGTGGATTTTGTGAGCACACCTGTCCAGGGGAGTCTCCTCAAGGCAAAAGAGTGTGTGTGCTTGGTTGTGCATGAAATGCTGTTGTGCATGCATTAACCTGTAGGGACGGTCTGTCTCCCTGTGCTTTTCTAGTTGGTGATGAGATTTAAGCAGCAGCTCCCTGTGAAAAGGTACAGGGTTCACATGGATGGCACGTGTCACCTGTGAGATGAGGCAGCGCTGGGTGCTCCATTCAGATCAGAAATGCTGAGCACTGGGAGCTCAGGTCCAGAGCTGAGAGCTTTCTCCACCATCAGCAGGCACACAGGCTCAACCCTACAATGTGCAGAGCCTTCACAACAGCTCCTGGAACCCTCCCCAAAACACTGCACTCAAATTTTATCATCTGCAATAACCACTGCTTGGTCCTGTGCCCTCCCTCCTGTGTCCTCTGCCCTGGGATGAGTGCAGGTCACAGGGCATGTCAGGGACATCATCCACCCACACCTCCATGCGCACGCAGAGCCAGGCACGGAGCGGGACTGCTCTGGCCTCGGCAGTGGAGCTGCAGGAGTGAAATGGGATGTGTAGAAAATGTTTCCTGTTTACCCAGTCTTTGGAGTCCTTAGTGATAGCTGTTGGAGCGGGAATCGGTCAGCAGGGGCCATGTGAATGGGTGTTTTTAGATTTGAAATCACGACGCCTCATCTTGCAGAGCCGCCACTGTCCTCCCGGGGAAGTCGGTGTTGGGGGAAAGCCTGGGTGTCAGCCAAGGCTCGGTTATGATGTGCAAGGAGGAGGGAGGGAGGGAGGAAGCCAGAGGGTGTTGGTGCTGCACGCTCGGCCATGCTGGCCATGCCCACAGTCCTGCCTCTGCCTGCACCTCCCATTGTCCCCCAGCTTCCTGCTGGCATCTCCACTGGGGCTCCAGCTCCCTGGCAGCTCCCAGGCCCATCCTGAGGTGACCTTTTGGGTAGCCCACAGTGGCAGGTGGCACTGGACCCACCAGAGCAGAGCAGAGCACGCAGATGGGCAGGCAGCCCCAGGCCGGGACACGTGCACTTCCAAAGGCTTTTCCAAAGGCTGTGAGCCCCCCTCCACCACTGACCTGCTCCACGGCATTCAGGGTCTGTCAGGCGTGAATTCAGTAGGGGGATGGAGGGGGTTTTAGCCCCTCGTTAGCACAGGCCAATTAGTGTGGCATGCTGCTCTCCTGTCAGCTGATGTGGCTGCTGTTGAATGCACCCTGCCCACGCTGATCCCTTTAAAGTTGAGGCTGTGTTGAGGTTGAGGCCCATGATTTTACTGCAGGAACTTTTACGTGATCTTTTTTTTTTTTCCTCTCTCTCCTGAGAAACCAAGTCCTGCCTGGTTTGTTTTATCAGCCTTTTTGGGCTGCTCTGTGCCAGCATGTGCTGGTTGCTGTGATTCTGCAGAGAGTCAGTATCTGAGAGACACCACTACCAGGGCAAGACCCCAGCAGCCACATTTCAGTAAGTTTTTTATATTCCCTGTGCCCCCCACCATCCCCTGGATGAGCTGCACCCCACTGAACTCATCCCCTCTCTGCCGTTTCTTGTGAGGGACGCGATCTTAGATGCCCAGATCTCACAAGATCCTGGGGACATGTGGCACCTCTAAAACTACTTGGCCACTCTCCAGCTTGTCCTTGAGGGGAGGATGATGGGGAAAACAAGAGGGAACAGTGCTGGGCAGAGTCCAGCCCGGAGATTATGATGTGCCTCCCACACACGGGGCAGGATCGAGGAGTTTTGAGGGTGCCCTGGGAATACCCGACAGTGCAGCCGTAATTAATCAAGTTCAGAGATTGAATTCTTCATTAGCACTTCTCAGTGTGCAGGGAGAGCCTTGGGAGTCTGTCAGGCATCCACAGCCTGCCTGGGAAATGCGTTTGTCTTCTCCTGGTGGAAACTTTCTCTGACAAGGAATTTGATCAGCGTTTTGCTTAGAACGTTGTAGATTTTAGAGAAATCAGGATTCAGGAAAAAAGTTCCTCCAAAGCTATCAAAGTCTCCCAGCTCCAAAATTGACTTTTGAACTTTAGAGCCCCGAAATGTCAATGATTAGTTGAAATTGTGTTTTTCCCACTCAAATTTCCCTAAAGGTTCAAAAAAACCATTGATAAACAAAACTTCATTGGTTATTAGTCTTAAAAAAAAAAAGAAGAAGAAAAGAAAAATGGTAAAGAAAAGATGCTTTGGGATAGCTGCCTCTGTCAAGTCCTCCTCTGTTTCCAGCTTGCCCAAGGATCTTTGTGTCTCTAGGCTTTTATCTCACAGTAAATGCTTATTTTATCTCTGACAGTGAGAGTCAGAGACTCCTCATTTTCAACACTTGGGAAGCACCATGCAACATCCTCCAGGGATGGCTGGATCTGCCTGTGACCCAGGGGCTGCAGATGCTGTTGGAGCGTGGCTGGGTCTCTTCCCCAGGGCAAAGACATTCCTTTTGTGCAGTTCCTCATCAAAGTCTCCACTTTTGCAATAAAGACATTTTTCAAGGTGTTTTGACGTCCATAAGGCCTCCCCTCCCTCCCACTTGTACTGCTGGCTGCTCATTAACACCAAAAGCTAATTGCTACCCATTTGTTAATTAGATATTTGACATCATGTTGCACAAGGAGCTGGGGTTGTGATGACAGAAAGCAGGAGTTTGACTTCTGTGATGCTGACTTTAAGTAGTGCTTCTTACAGAAGACTGGCAGGTTCTTCCAGGACGTCTCCAACATGGAAAGAAGCCAAAGCAAAGGCCCCATGTGGGACACAGCCCCCAGCCAGGGAAATATTTCTGTTGCAAGCAATGATTGAGCACATACTTAAAGCCCTGCACGTGCTCCTGTGCTTTGCCAGAGGTGTGGGGGAGCCTGTGCCATCAAGGTCAGGGCCATAAATCAGCTCCAGCAAAATTAAGGCTGGCATCAAGAGATCAGCCAGACCTTACTGTGAAGGCACATTGTACATCTGTGCTTTCCTGAATCAGTCACCCCAAGACACTGTTAAAGCACCAACACCTGCACCCCCAGCTTTAAGATGGGAGTAACACCACGGTGGGCAGTTTCTGTAAGACCCAGGTGAGCAGCTCCCAGTCAGGTGGGCTGAACAATCCACCAGCCCTTGCTGTGTGAGCCACATCTGAGCCACCCTGAGGGCTCAGCCTCCCCTCTCGCTCTTGACGAAGAGTTCAGGGAAAGCCTGATAAGAGAAGGGGAGAAAGTGAGGGAGGCAGGGAGCAGAGACTAAATATTGTGCAATTTGGTGTCTTGCACACAAGCAGCAAACCCTGGGCTTGGGGGAGGGACAAAGCCCCCAACTGCCCTGCTCTGCAGCAGTGTGCTCTGGGGCACCACTGGGACCCCCGTGTACCCAACGCCAGGGCTGTGGCCTCGCTGCTGCTGCTGCTGTGATAACATCGAGGACAGAGATGGGAAAAAGCCCAGAGTCTCCCTTTTGCTAAGCCAGCATGGTAAAGGGCTCCTTTATCTGCCCTTTGGTGCGAGATAAGGTTCCAGTGTTGTCCTGCCCAAGCAGCTTGTATCGCTCACAGATACCTCCCCTGGCCGCAGAAAGGTATCAGGCGCTCAGAAAATATTT